CTAGAAAAAGTTTGAAATATCATTTAGGTCCATCGCGACGCGTATTAATGCGAACTATTTTCAGAAAGGCTGAAGAAACTTGAAAAGCATTTGAGTGCAATGGCATAATCTCTGATAGCTGTCTTTCAAAAATCTTCGTTCACAAGACTTAGTAAGCAGTTGCAGTTGAAAGCATATTTATTACTACAGGATTCCGTGTTATCGTGCCCATTTGAAATAAGTTTTTTTGTAAACGAACAGTACTCCAAACGTATTGTAAAAAAATTGGTCATCCCAACATACGCTTGCCATGTAAAAATTCTGAGGAAATTTCAGTCTGACGTTGCTTAAGCAGTCAGTTTTTCTACTTGACTAAGTTTAAAGCGCAGAGGAGTTTTAGACTTGTAGTTTTTTACTTTTTACCTTTTCTTGCAAGATGAACAAAATGGAAAAATACTCAAGAATTATGAATAAAAAATAATGCTTGATTCCTTGATAACGCGGTTATTCGACTCAAAAAATATCAAAGGTGCTCCATGCTTTCTTGAGTGAGAATTTTTGCATCGATGTTACTGTGCGTCTACAGTGGATTCCCAATAGAAAATAGGGAAAAGGACTCTAAATGATGATGCCTTGTTCATTGAATTCCCGTGTTCATTAGAGTCATAAAAAGCACTTGCCGCACTTTGTTACCTGTTTGTTAAATTTGCATGTAGAATGCTATATTTTTGTTTGTCGTGAATTACCTTTTAGCGACCTGCTGTTTGTGCTCCCAATAGTACATATAAACAATGTATTCAGTATTGAAAGTCCTAAAAACAGGGAACTAACAATGAACGCAGGTCCAGCTTTTCAACGGTGGTCATATGCGAGTAAAAATGAGTATGAAAAAGTGCTTCTCTCTGTTTCAAATTTGTATGCTGTTCTACCGACTGGCCCCGAAAAGATAGCACCATAGCGTTTAAGAGGCAGTTTTTGCATTCTGCTCAAACAGCTAACCATAACGATTATAGCTCTAAAGGTTTGCAGTTTTCTCTTGCTTTCCAAAGAAAAGTAACCCTCCCTACCACATATATGATTCCTTTACTGAGCAGCAAAATCAGAAATTTCTACAAATAACTTGCTTTCGACAGAAATGATTGAGACGATGTCCTTCGAAAAAGAGGAAGCAATGTTAAAACCAGTATGACGTCGGAAGCACTACCATTTTTCCTACAGACTTAGCGCAAATGTATTTTTGAAAATTGGAATTGAGCGATGTAATAACTCCAGCAAAGCTGTGCTGCAGCTCTGTTCTGCAAAACTGCTTTTGACCTGGTTCAGCAAAAAACTACAATTTAGCTACAAATTAATACTGATAAACTAATAAACTTAAACTAATAAAAGGATGCTAAGCCGCAAATACAAGTAAGCAATAAATGTCACAAACTTCCTGACTATACTACCCAACAACTAGTGCAGAAATACTCTTCAAAGTTCATTTGCACAAACAGTTGTAGCAAACTGGAGTCAAAACCAGTTTAAGATCATATAGTTTACTACAGTAGTCCCTCCCTTCGCCGGCCTAAACTAGCTGCACACAAGAATAATGTGCTGTAAAGAGCACAGCTTATTATTTTATATTCCACAGCACAAGTGCTACAGTGGCGAGAACAAATACAATAATGGGAAAACAACGTCAGAG